GTGGATAACTAGACCGTGAACGTTGATGCCAGGTCAGGTGGTGCAGTGGATAGCTAGACCGTGAATGTTTATGCGAGGGCAGGTGGTACAGTGGATACCTAGACCGTGAACGTTTATGCGAGGTCAAGTGGTGCAGGTTCCTGGTCACATTCTTCAGTTTGATGAACATTATTTTGATCAGGTTTTGGTTCTGTTGGAGGGTTGACAGTATCAAAGTTGCTTATTGCTTCGTGCAACAATTCTTATATATCTGTCGGTACTACCCCAAGAAGTTCTGTCATGCTTATTGTTGCCAAAATAGTATCATCATCACTTGGTATTCCGTCATGATCACTTTCTTGTAAACAAACTGGAATTTGCAGATTAAAGTTTCCAAGCTCTTGATGCTGAGCCATCTCAGCAGCAGCAGCAGACGACAGTGTATTTACCCAAAAATTAAACTGCTAGAAAATTAATCAGAAAATATTTTATTAGACATTTTGACATTTTCATTAAATCTGATGTTAATGTAAGTTGACAGTGTATGGCGGCCATGTTTGTTTACATTGTGCAAGTCAAATGTATTCATACGCCCTGCAAAGACCAACTTCAGTTATAGTATCATACGATGAAGCTGCTATTGGCAGTACTTTAGTAATAATATAGAAGGGCTTTGCCACACCAAATCTAATATATATCTTAATATGAGGTTGACTGTTGCTATATACCGACATATCTTAATATGAAGTTGACTGTTGATATATAGCGTAGTTTTACATCCTGGATTGTACCGACATATCTTAATATGAGGTTGACTGTTGCTATGTACCGACATATCTCATTATGAAGTTGACTGTTGATATATAGAGTAGTTTTACATCCGGTTGACTGTTGCTATATAGCGTACTTTTACGTCCTGGATTGTACCGACATATCTTAATATGAGGTTGACTTTTGCCATCTAGCGTGTTATTACGTCCTGGATTGTACCGACACATCTCAATATGAGGTTGACTGTTGCTATGTACCGACATATCTCAATATGAAGTTGACTGTTGATATATAGAGTAGTTTTCCATCCGGTTGACTGTTGCTATATAGCGTACTTTTACGTCCTGGATTGTCTCGACATATCTTAATATGAGGTTGACTGTTGCTATATATCGTACTTTTACATCCTGGAGTGTACCGACATATCTCAATATGAGGTTGACTGTTGCTATATAGCGTAATTTTACGTCCTGGATTGTCCCGACATATCTTAATATGAGGTTGACTGTTGCTATGTACCGACATATCTCAATATGAAGTTGACTGTTGATATATAGAGTAGTTTTCCATCCGGTTGACTGTTGCTATATAGCGTACTTTTACGTCCTGGATTGTCTCGACATATCTTAATATGAGGTTGACTGTTGTTATATAGCGTACTTTTACGTCCTGGATTGTCTCGACATATCTTAATATGAGGTTGACTGTTGCTATATACCGTACTTTTACGTCCTGGATTGTCCCGACATATCTTAATATGAGGTTGACTGTTGATATGTACCGACATATCTTAATATGAGGTTGACTGTTGCTATATATCGTACTTTTACATCCTGGAGTGTACCGACATATCTCAATATGAGGTTGACTGTTGCTATGTACCGACATATCTCATTATGAAGTTGACTGTTCATATATAGAGTAGTTTTACATCCGGTTGACTGTTGCTATATAGCGTACTTTTACGTCCTGGATTGTCTCGACATATCTTAATATGAGGTTGACTGTTGTTATATAGCGTACTTTTACGTCCTGGATTGTCCCGACATATCTTAATATGAGGTTGACTGTTGATATGTACCGACATATCTTAATATGAGGTTGACTGTTGCTATGTACCGACATATCTTAATATGAGGTTGACTGGGGCTATATATCGTACTTTTACATCCTGGATTGGACCGACATATCTCAATATGAGGTTGACTGTTGCTATATAGCGTACTCCTGTAGGTTAAAACGACGTCACATGATATCCAGCTTCGCCTCGCCCGATACAAGTTTCTTTTAGACCCAATATTTTTCCGTATTAGGTCACTAACAAACTGTGTAACTAATAATATGAGGTTGACTGTTGATATATAGCGTACTTTTACGTCCTGGATTGTACCGACATATCTTAATATGAGGTTAGATATTGCTATATAGCGTACTACCTGCTGATAACTGACCCCTGTTGGTCATGTTTCATATAAACACTCGAGATTAACAGCTGGCCGAGAATATGTAAAGTCTTTGATATGAAATAATATTTGAAGAACAGGGCAAATATGTATCTGTTCTGATATCGTATTCGACAAATTTAGCTTCATATTAAAACATGAAAAGTCAGAAAAGAGAGTGACACAAAGCTATAGGTATACAAATAGTCTCATGACAACTGTTGCTACCGAACTCACGTTCAAACAAAATATATTTCCAATCAGGACTTCGATCATTTTAACACCTATATCCTCAGTATATAACGTCTTAGCTTTAATGTTTTTTCATGTAACCTTTTCCTAATTAGCTGCCAAAACTGTGTACTGACCTACTATAAGATGTTGTTATTGGCTGTGAGTATGCCTATTTTTAATGGTGTATATTTGTTGCGTTATAGATGTTGGTTTATATGACACGGTTCACTTTAATGTGCATTTATAGAGGCAATCACATTATCAGCCGTGCTATCATTAATGACAAGATCACATATCAACGTTAAACTGGATTACGGCATCAAAGCCATTAGCAGCATGATCTGCGTTTGAGAGGACATATCACGTCTGTCCCTGCGTGCTACAGATGACATGGCGAACTCCAGGGTTAATATCCTAGATAAAAACTGTCTCGTCTGTAAGACACTTCATGATTAAGATATACTTCCTTATATAACACGTAGTTGAAAGAAATCAAAAAAACCTGACTGGAACCATTCCAGATTATTTGATTTTTGTACAAAAAAATAATAGTTAATAATAATGATATCCGAATTGATTATATTCGTACAAGTGAAATATTAGGAATTATCCATTCTACTTATTATATTCAGTGCGTAGATTATATACAGTGCGCAGATGAAGTGAGGGCAGACTAGGTCGTTGGTTTGGTGCGTAGATTATCAGTTTGAAGCTCAGATGAAGCGACGGCAGACTAGATCGTTGTTTTGGTGGGTAGATTTTCAGATTGAAGCACAGATGAAGCGACGGCAAAATAGGTCGTTGTTTAGGTGCGCAGATATTAAGTTTGAAGCTCAGATGAAGTTACGTTAAACTAGGTCGTTGTTTAGATGCGCAGATTTTCATTGTGAAGCTCAGATGAAGCGACGGTAGATTAGGTCGTGGTTTCGGTGCGTAGATTTTCAGTTTGAAGCTCAGATGAAGCGACGGCAGACTTGGTCGTTGTTACGATGCGCAGATTTTCATTTTGAAGCTCAGACGAAGCAATCAATCAATCAATCAAATCTCGTATTCCTCTGTTAAGAGATTTACAAAAGGAAAGAGTTATTTACATCAAATTAATTTGAACGTGTTGAGTCTATACCATAATTTTGATACAGTTCTTCCTCGAATGCATGAGTAAAATCATTTTACTTTTGTTGGCACACTGGTAACTTATACATTAAAAGTCAAGGTGGATTATCGTTTGATAAGAACACATGAGCAGCACTTCTGATAAATTTGGCACTGTCCAAGAGGAATTCCTGGTATTCCTCTTTACTTTCTAGTTTTTCTCCTGGAACATGTTTCCCGAGAAGAGTTCTTAGGAAGTTTTCGTACTGCAGATTGTCTAAATAGACAAATAATGGTATGCCATATTTATCTATAATCAGTGTCATGTAGACGTCACGAAGGTCAGCTGTAGCCCGACAAACAGTCACATAATGCAAAATAGCATCTATGTACAGTACGTTACATATTTTACACTGTTGCTCTATCCATTGAGGGGAACACGTCACCATTTTACACACAAACTTGACAATTTTGAGGTCCTTCGTAGTTTTAGGTGTTTTCCACAGAATGTATGGAGACGTATACGTACTATGAATGTCGCTATATCACAAAACGTCAAGATCGTCCGCAAGTCTTTCATTCAGGAGAGAGTCCTCCATTGTTTTAATAGAGTTATTTACAGTCCGTTTCCATATCACTTTTGAGGGGAAATTGACATTTGTTATGTACCCTTGCAGGAATTGCTGTAAATTGTATTTACATAACATAGACCAAGTATCAGGTATAAATCCAAGTTGGTTATTACATGGGTCTTGAATGTACTGGTATAACCTTCGTAGAAATATTTGTTTAGAAAGAGTTTCTGACTTGAGGTGAATGAGAGTAGAAAGGAAATTGAGCTTCCTTTTGTCGATTTATGACGGCATATATCGGATCTGGTTAGTTTCCGGAAGCATTGAGTTCTTTTTGCAATTGTGTGCTGTAGGACGTTAATGCGCTGTAGATCATGTTTAGTATTTTTTGACCAAAACTCGGAACCGTAAAGAACACTTGGGATTATGAATTTCTTGTACAATTCCGTTGTTTTTAAAGGGTTGGTCAATTCACAATCCTGTCCAAATTTGGTTATTAGATTAAAACAGTTCCTGCCTTTATTTAACCCATTTTCTATAGCTAACGTACTTTTGAGATCGGTGGAGATATTAACACCTACATGCTTATATGAGTCCGAGGTTTGTAGGTTATGTTCCATGATTGACCATTTGAAGTCATTATTCCGTTTATGTTTATTCCCGAAGACAAGAACTGTGCTTTTGTCCGCATTGTACGTGAACTTCCATGTTTTCGCATATTTTGTGCAGATGTCTAGTAGCGTTTGAAAGGCTGACGGACTGGTTGCAATGAAGGCAATGTCGTCTGCAAGAGCTGGGTTACTACAATTTATGTCGTAAATCTTGGCTCCAACTCGGCGATGTTCCAACTCTAAGAGAAGGTCATTTATGAAGACGAAATATAAAAAGTTGCAGATCACACTTCCTTGTCTAATTCCATATTTAACCGGCAGCCATCTTGCTCTTGTACCGTGTGGCATAACTGTCCTAAAGGCCGAGGACGTCAGTCCAGTACAAATTAGGACAGTGATGAGAATGAGAGTATTTCAAATACTCTAAATGTACTGTCATGGAACATTAATGGTGGATTGGACAATAAATTAAAATCTAAACAATTTCAAAATTTTATTAAAACATATAATCTTGTATTTTTGACAGAATGTTGGATAACAAATGACTACCAAGTTGATATTGAAGGTTACTCTACCTATGTAATACCTAGAAAACGTACTACACATTCCCAAGGAGGTGGCATGTTAATTATGATTAAATCAAATTTAACTAAATATATTTCAGTTTGTGAAATTATATGTGACTCTATAGTTTGGCTAAAAATTGATAAAAGTCTTATTGGTCAAGGAAATGATGTGTACCTGGCATGTGTCTATATTCCACCTTCCAATTCCCAATTCTATAACCAGTATAACTGTGATTTATTTTTTGAATTGGAATATGGTATAAGTCAATATTCCCGAAAGGGTGATATTATGTTGTTGGGAGATTTTAACAGTCGTACCAGTAATGTATGTGATTATGTAAAATATGATATTATTCACGACAGTGTTAAATGTCAGCTTTCTGATTTGTTTTCATATGTCTCTGATGATTATTATACTGATAGGGTTAACCCCGACACAGTGGTAAATCATTTTGGAAACCGACTTATAGAATTATGTAAGGCGAGTTGTTTGCGTATCTATAACGGAAGAGATTTAAATAAGTATTCAAATGACTATACATATTGTGGCCATAATGGAATGAGTGTTATTGATTATTTGATTGCGAGTCCATGTTTATTGTATTGTGTTAAACAGTTTATTGTTGGCAATTTCAATGTGTTATCTGACCACGCCCCACTGCACGTGCAAATACGAACGCGTTTTTCATTGGTCGATAATGATGATACACACGTGTGTGAACCGACAGGTAACGAGCGACCTACTTATCGATGGAATGACGAAGGCAAGGTAAGCTTTTTAGATGTACTCTCAACGAATCAAAACGATATTAACGAGTCGGTTATACTATCGGAAGATGTTACCCAAAATGATATGGATGATTGCGTTACGCGATTTTCAAACGTATTGCTTCGAGCAATGGACCCCTTTCTCTCGCGACCGAGTACACACAGGAACGACAAGCGTGCGGGAGCAATGGGGCGAGACCAGGTAAATAAACAAGTTAGGTATGATACAGGTATATCCGAGGACAAACCATGGTTTGACCCCGATTTGAAACATGTATGGAATAATTATAAAAATGCATTGAGTTTGTTTAATAGTTCTAAGTCTGTAGAGAATCATAACAATTTAATTAATAAGAAAAGATTGTACAAAGCAGCAGAAGCAAAGAAAAAAAGAATGTACATGAAATATGAAGGTGATATGCTTGATCAACTAAGAAAGTATAATCCGAGACAATTTTATAAGAGATTCTCGTCGCCTAAAGCAGCTGGACCTCAAATGAGTATGGATAATTTGTACGACCATTTTAAGACTTTGTCATCTGAGAATGTTAATAATTCAGATGTAACAGAAAATAGAGGTGAATTTAATTCCAATGATAACTCTATTCCAATTTATGATGAATTAGACTGTCCTATTACGGTGTATGAGATAGCTAAAGCGATAGGTAACCTGAAACGGGGTAAATCACATGGACTTGATGGAATTTTAAATGAATGTTTCGTAGTTGGTAAAAATGTACTATTGCCTGTTTTGAGTGTACTATTTAATGGCATTTTTAATTCTGGATGTTTTCCCTCCGAATGGTCTATAGCTGTTATTACGCCAGTTCATAAGAAAGGAGATAAAAGTGACCCTAACAATTTTAGAGGTATTAGTTTGGTAAGTTGTCTAGGCAAACTGTTTACATCAATTTTGAATACGAGGTTGGTAAAATGGTCGGAGTCTTATGATATTATTACTGACGCACAGTTTGGTTTTCGTCCTGGTCTTAGCACTGTTGATGCCGTTTTCGCTCTGCATTCAGTTATTACAAAATCTTTTAGTGAAAATAAACGTCTATATTGTTGTTTCGTGGATTTTAGAAAGGCGTTCGACTACGTTGATAGGATCAACTTGTGGTATAAGTTATCGAAGTTGGGAGTAAGAGGGAAGCTGCTGCAAGTCATCAAGTCTATATATAATCATGTTAGGTCTTGTGTGAAATTCAAAGGCTGCTTATCAGACTTTTTTGATAATGATATCGGATTATTGCAAGGGGAAATTCTGTCTCCGATACTTTTTTCCATGTATGTGAATGATTTTGAATCGTTTTTTATCTCGAATTGTAGTAGCTATTATACCTTTGGAGAATTAAGCTTATTTCTTATGCTATACGCAGACGATTTAGTGTTGTTATCGGAGACGGTTGAGGGTTTACAGGAACTGTTGGATAATCTCGCTAGTTATTCTGAGAAATGGAAATTAACTGTCAATATTGATAAGACAAAAATTGTGGTTTTTCGAAAAGGCGGGAAAGTTCGAAATAATGAAATTTGGTTTTATAATGGCAAAACGGTTAGTTGTGTTGATCAATTTACATACCTAGGTGTGCAATTTAAGTTTAACAATAAGTTCAATAGTATTCAGAAACAATTAGCTGACCAAGGTCGTAAAGCTATGTTTGCTTTATTATCAAAATGCTCCAATCTTAGTCTTAATTTTAAGACCATGTTACATTTGTTCGATACATATGTTATTAGCATATTAAGTTACGCATGTGAAGTATGGGGATCCATAAAAGGAATAGACATTGAGAATGTGCACTTGAATTTCTGTAAGAGACTCCTCAAAGTTAAAAAATCCACATGTAATGCAATGGTATATTTCGAACTTGGTCGCTTGCCTTTAGAATGTATCAGAAAATACAGAATCATTAAGTATTGGTTTAAGTTACTCGACTCGAAAAATTGTATTCTGAACTGTGCATATTCTTTTTTATCAAAACAGATTACATGTACTTGCTTTAACTGGGTACACCATGTAAAAAATGAATTATTTGCTTTGGGCTTTGGTGATGTATGGTTAAGCCAATCGTCGACTAATGTTAAATTAATTTTACCGCTTATTCGTCAAAGAATTTTTGACCAAGGCCAACAACATTTAAGAGGTTTACTAGAGACTTCCTCTAAGTGTTTTTTATACAAGTGTATCGTAGACCACTTTTCCATTCAGTATTATTTAACCAAATATATTCCTAAGAATTATAGAATTAGTCTAACAAAGTTACGAATGTCTGCACATTCATTAGCAATCGAGACCGGTAGATATCGCAACGTTATTCGAGAACAGAGATATTGTACGAACTGTAATTCGGCTACAGAAGTCGAAGATGAATACCATTTTATTCTGATATGTAAAACCTACCAAAACTTAAGAAGTCGCCTTATTAAAAAGTACTACTGGAAAAAGCCATCCATGTTTAAATTTATACAATTATTGTGTGTTAACAATACTAAGGAATTATGTCAACTTGGTAAATATATTTTTGAAGCTAATAAGTTAAGAATCTAATTTATTTACTCCACTCTCTCACTGTATATTGTGAGCCGTGTTATTGTGTATATTATGCATTGTATTGATATGTTTGTACTGATGGGCCGTAAGGCCGAAAGTTAATAAATGAATTGAATTGAATCTATATGTATCAATATATGAACTATTAATTAACGTTAGGATTTTCCCTCGCACACCCAGCTTGAATAGCTTGTGCATAAGGCCGTGATGCCCCAAGTGTCAAATGCCTTTCGCGTGTCTAAGAATGCCACGAATACTTTATTGTTGTTTTCCAAGTTGTAGTAAATGGTCTCTCTCTCGTTAAACACAGCTGTGGAGCAGATGAGGTTTCTTTGGAATCCTTGCTGTTGTTTACAAAGTGGGTTTGCGATACACGACAACAAGCTCTGGATTGTATTGCTTATAAGTTGCCGGAAGAAATGTAATCGGGCGGTAATTATATGGATTATTTTTGGGCTTGTGCCCTCCTTTATAAAATGGAATGACAATGCCACATTTCGACGTCTTTGGTATATATCCTTTGTCTAACATTGCGTTAAAAAGTTTCAGAATACAAAGAAACAGCTGACGTCCCCATAACGCAAATGTTCGTTACAGATATTGTCAACTCCAGGAGCTTTGTTTAGTTTCAGGTCCTAATGGCATTTATCACTTCATCGAGTGTAAATCTGTAATTCTGAATATCGGAGTTTTCCAATACTATGTTATCATGTGGCAGAGATGATTCGTCAGCATCAGGTTGAGTGTCAATCTGTTCAAAGTAGTTTGCGAAAGCTTCACAGATATCGTTGGGGTTCCGGAGGGAGTTTCCGTTATAAACTAATGCGGGGCATGGATCAGCTTTTACGGATTTGCGTCTTCTAATAACCTTCCAGAATAGACGAATGTCAACTTCCGCTATGAGTTCTAATTCTTATTGACATTCTAGTAAATACGCGCTATATGCATGTTCATGAACTTCTCTGAATATTTGTTTTGCGCCCTTGTAAGATTTATAACTCTGATATTGTAGACCGCGAGGACGTCCTTCACTGATCCACAAAATGCGTTTTTGTAAAGCGCTTTTGTGTGCAGACTTTACCTCGAGAGACCAGTACGGTTTAAGGTGGGTATTATGATTTCTCAATGGAATTGTATTATTTTAGAGTCATAATTTAAGCGTAAATATCTATATCACATTGCGTTTGTAATGGCATATCTAGTAGCCCTTTCAGTCTGTCCGTAAGCACTAATTGATAATTAATCAGGTTGCTGACAGAGGCTTTGTTCCAGGCTCGAAAGTCGTCCGATAGTGGTGTTCTACATGAATAATCTCGCTTGATCGGGAGATGATCTGACGATATGTCCGTTTCTGAGGTAGTGAATATTTCACAATAATTAGCAGAGTTGTAGGCATATGCGTCACGCAGTTGTTGAAGTAATAGATCGTAATCCTGTAAATTACTGTCACTTGGCATATACACGCCTAATATGGTGATCATTTCACTATCATTAGTATGTATCTTTATTGCTATTAGTCTATCATTGCTGACATTATCGAGCATAGAAACACTATAGAATAGGTCTTTCTTTATCAAAACCACAACTTTGTGACGTAATGATTCAAGGCTTACGTCATTTCTCGATCTCAGGATTCCGTAGTCTCGATTGTGAATTTTATCTAAAATATCTACATTAGTCGGACAGATATTTGCCTCGGTAAGAATGACAATGTCACTTTGATATTCTGGCATGGACAACAGATGTCCAATACATGCTTCCGATGAAGAAATTCCTATAGCATTCCAAGTCAAAAGCGTCAGGTTCATGGTGAGCAGAAAACACATGAAGTAAAATGTATTGTTACAGCTCAAGTGAATTTCTAGCTATTTGATTGGTTGGGAGAAAATTAAACAAAAATCTCTGTCACCCTCCGAAAAAACATTGGTTTTAAGGGGCGTGGGTGATATTTCCATGAGACAGAGAAAAATATCACATGCGCGAAAAATGTGCGTTCCGGGTTCTTCACAGTGACCATTTTTCACCGCATCGTTTCCCCACCGTGATGGTCACAAGAACGTTTGACGGCAACAGCCAATTTTATCAAGCGCCGGTGCGATAGCGATTGTAAACAGCAGACTATCAACAAACAAGATGTCATTATCGAGGTTTGCTGCCATTTCTGAGCTACATATTTATTTAAAGACTTTAGGTGTAACAAAATAGATGTGACATTCAAGCATAACGGCTTCGCCACGGGTGACAATGGGTTTCTCGGGTTGACAATATTCACTGTCACCTGCTAATGAATGTCATATTTATATAATGTTAAACATTGTTGGTATAAGCGGTTTTATTTCTTTGGATTTTTACTGATCGTTGGACCAATAATCGCTGGAATCTATTCCAATTATATTGGTCGTAGTAGTCTAAATTATTATCCTCCCAGTCGTGCGCCGCGCTGTCGTTGTAAGAACGGTACTCGTTAACGTCTTCGTGTCTGTAATCAGAACGACGTGACGCCGGTTTTCGGTATGAACGCGTATCGAATCCTGAACTACGTTGATCTATTGCGTTGTTTCTGTATTCAAATCGACGCTTTTTATTTTGTTCTTCACATTGCTGTTTCCAATCATTACGGTTAACCCATGGACGACAAACCACGTCATCGGGCCAAAACTCTGGTACGAGTAGAGACTAGGAATTCATCTCTAGTACATTTATTTTAGCAGAATACTTATCTCCTTTGTTTTCAAAGAGAATAAAGTGTGTCACTTTAAAACCTTTATTTTGAATATAGTTCACAATTCCACTACGTGTGGGTTCTTTTGATATACCACTGATGTAGTATCTGGACGTCCTACGTCGCTTTACTCCAATGAAAATATCGGTATTCTCGCCGTTATGCTTTGTACGTTGTTCCGTACTGTAGGAGTTCTCAGCTGCTGGAGTTACACCGTCATGGGTCGGGAAGTCCCGAGTTTGTAACGTGGAATTAGAATCGCGGCTGTTTACTTTCGGTTGTTTTTCATTGCGTGAATAATCATGATAATGCTCCCTCATTTCTAAAATCTCTTCTACCACCTATTGTGTCAAACTTCTCTAACTATAATCTTAGAAACAGGAATAACTTTCAGAACCTATACTATAGACTGCAAGTCACAAAATCATTCTTCATACCAAGTACTTCAGACTCCTGGAATAATCTACAAATAGAAACAAAGTCATCAGATTCCATTAAACAATTTAAAACTCTTATTCAACCTCAAGTCACTACCCCTTCTTATATTAAATGTTTTCTTGAATATGGGTCCAGAAAAGTAAATATTATACATTGTCAATTACGAAACCGCAGTAGCTCTTTAAATTACGACCCTTTTAAAGCTCACCTTCGAGACAACTCTACTTGCGACTGCGGAAATGACTCGGAAGACTCTTCCCATTTCTTACTAAACTGTAAAAACAATGTTCAATCCCGTAATATAATACTTCAATCCCTCGACTGGTATAACGAAATCACTGTTGAACACCTTCTCTTCGGAGATGCAAATATTGACTACAATCTAAACATTCAAATTTGTAGGTCAGTACAACTGTTCATTTTTAGCTCCAAACGGTTAAACATGTAATACCCAACAGTCATATTGAATAACCAGGATACCTACTTTGACTATTCCCATCTGTCTCTCCCTTCCACCTCCTCTCATATTCCAGCCCCTCTCCCTTTTTCCAACACCAACGATCTCTGTGTATTAACTTCAATATTAGCGTCCATCAATATCATAGCCGTTTCCATATGACAAAGAGCGCGTGTCCGGTTTTCCTAATCTAGTCGGCTAAGTATGTAAGGCACGAATTCACAGAAGGACTTGGAGTGACACAGGAGAAAGGCAAACGCGGCTCGGAATGTGATTGAACTTCAGAAAAGCAGAAGGATATGTGTGTATAGATTAGGTATACTACTTACGCCGACTCGATTAGGAAAATCACAAACGCGATCTCAAGTAAACTCTCCGAATACATATTTTAAAAACTATACGTTGGTGTCCCTTATCCTATCATTACCTCTTTTGCTGTAACCCATCTTTAACATCTTATATATATATATACATAAATTTTTTTTAGGTTATTACGTGACACATTAATTTTGTATATATATTTTCTGTCACGGAAAGGACGTAAGTAAGTTGCAATAACTTTTGTCCAATCCATTTGTCTTTAGTTGCAATAAAATTGATTTAAACTATCGTGTGGGTTTATAGCCATGTATTTGGTCGTCATCAGACGATAATGATTGCCCATTTCTCCAACAGATTTTAAAATGTATGTTTCAATGTGTAAATAATTTAAATATATCAGATAACAGATGCTTAAAATTGAAGCATTTAAATCAGATGTCAATAGTACCAGTATGGATTTATCATTATCCGCTAGTGTGTATAACACCTATGGGTTGTCTGATGGCGATGATGTCATTGTGAAAGTAACCAAGTCATTTTGTTTACGTATGTTTTCGGAATTATATGTAAACAAATATAAGTATCAGTCCCCACATAATTGGCGGATTGGTTGAGTGGTTAACACTTCGGCCTTCCACGCAGGCGGCCGGGGTTCGATCCCCGAAGTCGTCGCACGCATGGAATATCAGAGAAGGTGTTTTTCTCCTGCCCACATAATTCCAACAACCCAGGTGGAGTATAAAATGGTCTGGGGTGGATGTTGCGGTATCTGTGATGTAGCATTCAAGTGAGGTGGCACTATAAAAGATGCCGTTGGAAGCACGGTCCCACTGCAGACAGAACACAATACATCTCCAGCACACACGCAGGCATACACACATAGGGAGATATTAGCCAGGTGGCATATGACTAGTAGTTAGCGCCTAATAAGGCAGCTCTTGCGAATTCCTCAAAATTGTATATCCTAATTGTATTAATTGTATATCTATGTTCTGTAAAGCGTTTTAGAGTGGCTTATGTTAACTAGATAGGGCGCTATATCAAATATTGTATATTATTATTATTATTAATTATAACTGGATGATAATACATGTTTTCATTCCATCAGGGATCTGATGAATGTTATCACTTTATCTTTTACTGACAAATGTGTAATGTTAAGCGGGCATTCCTCTTTACATCAGATTAAAGTATTGTTTGTGTTTTTTCTGTCCTTCTGTGTTTCCTGGTGGAGCTCTTAATTGGATGAATGAGTGTTTT